AAAAAAAAAAAAAAAAAACCGCTATGCCCAAGGCCAAAACACAGCACATCTGTGATTATGGGCCTGCACGGGCCTGTCCCGTTCACCAAGGCAAGAATGAAGCAGGTGTTGACCTTCGGGGGAAAAGAAAGAAGAGGTTATATTCGAATATGACAATTTTCTCTTTGTGAAATTCAAATATAACGCAAATATGTAGTATTCGAATATAACACGTGCGTTATATTCGCAGCCCTTAGGCTGCGGTATAGTGGGCTTCAGCGTATGTGTCAAGGTGTCGCATTTTTGGTGGCGGGCGACCAGGACGCAAAGTGGGTTCTTAGGGGGCAAAAAAATTTGGGGGACCGGTCCTTGCCAAAATTGCGGACTACCTACAGCTAGCTCTGGTAGAGCCGGGACTTTTGGAAAAACGAAGGACCGGTCCTCGGGTGGAAGTGGACCCCAAAAGGAAGTGGGGGGCATTGGACCGGTCATCGGGTAGAAGCGGACCCCAAAAAGAAGCGAGGGCATGTGAACTGCAAAAGGGCCCTCAGGCCCAGGCGTTGAGCCCCGTCTTCTCAAAACAGGGAGGTCAGGCACAACGAAACAGACGTTTTGCAAGAGGCAACTTTGGCGATTTTTTGTGCTCAGACGAACATACACAAGAATCTGAAATTTTGAGAATCCGTAGATGAGGTCGTGTTCTTTCCATAAATAATAATAGAACATTTACAAAAAATCATTTAGGCTGCGAAATAATCGTCGCGCCGTTTCATCACATTTTTCATTTTTGCCACTCCGCCATGTCTGGGCCAACTAAGGCTGCGGTCTACTGGGGTTCGGCGTCTGTGTCAAGATGTCGCATTTTTTATGGCGGGCGACCATGACCCAAAGTGGGTTCTTAGGGGGCAAAACAATTTGGGGAACCAATCCTTGCCAAAATTGCGGACTACCTACAGCTAACTCTGGTAGAACTGGGACTTTTGGAAAAAGGAAGGACTGGTCCTCGGGTGGAAGTGGACCCCAAAAAGAAGTGGGGGTGGGGTAAGGGCCCTCAAACCCAGGCATTGAGGCCCCGTTTTCTAGAAACAGGGAGGTCAGACGCAACGAAACAGGCGTTTTGCAAGAGGCACCTTTGGCGATTTTCTGTGCTCTGAGGAACCCGCAAAAAAAATCTGAAATTTTGAGAATCCATATACGAGGTCGTGTTCTTTTTAGAGAAAATGTTAGAACATTTTTAAAAAATCATTTAGACCCAGAAATAATTGTCGCGCCAATAAAGCACATTTTTCATTTTTGCCACTCAACCATGTGTGGGCCAACTTAAGAAGTACTCCAAATTCAGTGAGTTTTCACACTCAGAAGAATGCGTGAAAAAACCTGAAAATTGGAATACTTGTAGATTTTGTTGTGATCTTTCCAGGAAAAATGCTAAATAAATTTAAAAAAATCATTCCAACTACGAAATAGATCGCGACTGCAATTTAACCCATATTTCAAGTTTGTCATTCAGCCTCTCTCTCTCTCTCTCTCTCTCTCTCTCTCTCTCTCTCTCTTTCTCTCTCTCTCTCT